AAAGGAACACCGGGCTGTCCTGCCACCGAGGCGGGTGTTGGAGAGGGTAAAGAAAACGAAGCACAGCGGGGTCTGAGCAGCTGCCATTTAATGCGGGAAGGCTGCGATGTGGGGACGGACAGCAACACAGCTGGGGGGGGCACCGCAAGCCACCCCCTCCTGCCCCCGTCCCGGCCACCCCAGTCGGGGGATGCCGAGGGGGGACCATGGGGCTGGGTACACCCCATGGGACGGGGTCAGGTCCGTGCGGGTGCACAGCCCCCCAAAGGAGCGAGGGCTGCCAGGTGTGGCTGGGGGCGCCCCCCCCCCCCCCGCCCCCTCCCCCCCCCCCCCAGAAAAATGCCCCCCCCCCCCGGGGGCCCTGCCACAAGAAATCACACCTCTGTACAGCCGCTCCGAGCCCCAAAAGTAGGTCAAAGTCAAAATTCAGGGTACAGGCAGGCAAGAGCCCCCATCGCCCCTCGAGACCCTGCCAGGGTTTGCAAAGCCGCCGCGTCCCCATGACCACATGGGACAGGTTTGCTGTCCCCGCCGACACCGCCACCCATGCTGAGAGACGCGTCCTGGGGGGGTTTACCAGGCAAGAGCCCTGTGCCACCCGCGGGACGGGCCCCCAGGAGCGCTGGGAGCTGCATCACTGCACGGCACACCCCGATACCAGGAGCCAGGAGATGATCCGGGAGGGGAACGGGTGGTGTCTCGGAGAAGATGCCGCGGCTGGGTGCTCCGGGGGGAGCGGGATGCCCGCCGGGGGGGGCAGCCAGGACAGGATCTCCCTGTTCCCCGTCTCTACCGAGATTAAAGAACCAGCTCCAATCCCCGGGTGAACAAAGGCAGCTCTGTCTGCCCTCCCTCGTACCGCCCCGGCACCTGGCCCTCCCCGCCCCGGCACCCGGCCAGCCCCCAGCCTGGCCGGGGGGGTCTGCAGGCCAGGGGTGCCCTGGGAGGTCCCGGCTCCCTGGTGAGGCTGGGGGGGGTCCAGGCAGGCGCAGCAGCTCCTAGACGTAGTTGCTGGCTGGCAGCGAGCGAGCGGCCGTGAACTTGGCGGAGTAGGGCTTCTCGCCCCGGGGGGGGCAGGTGCAGCAGAGGATCCCCCCCCCCAGCAGCAGGAGCGCGGAGGCTGCCCAGCCCACGTAGAGGGACGACCCCAGGTCCCGCTTCTGGGAGTCAGTGACCATCGGGTTGTAGAAGTCCCGGATGACGGTGTTGGCTGACCAGGAGATGGGGATGAGGATGAGGACGCCGGCGACAATGAAGATGACGCCGGAGAGGATCATGACCTTGGCTTTGGCGGTGTCGTCCTCCACGCAGTTGGTGCACTTGCCGCCGGCGACGGCGAGCAGGGTGCCCAGGATGGCCAAGACGATGGCCACCACCACCATGGCGCGGGCGGCTTGCAGGTCCTGCGGCAGGGCCAGCAGGGAGTCGTAGACCTTGCACTGCATCTGCCCCGTGCTCTGCACCACGCAGTTCATCCACAGCCCTTCCCAGATGATCTGGGCCACCACGATGTTGTTGCCGACGAAGGCCGTCTCCCGCCACATGGGCAACGCGCAGCAGAGGATGGAGGCCAACCAGCCGATGACAGAGAGGGCAATGCCCAGCACCTGCAGCCCCATGGAGGCCATCGCTCACTGCCTGCACCCCTGCCAGCCTCCCGCAGTGCAGTGCCGGCTGCCGGGACCATGGCAGGCATTATATGCCTTTGCTGAGGGAGGAGCGCCGGCCGCCGCC